GGGGGTCGCATTGAAGCAGAAATCTTGGATGTGGGCTTCTCAAAATTTTTTTGACCATGACTGAGGCTGCACGGGAAAAGCACACTCACTACGACTTTTTAATGACATACTAATCTATGACATTTTTTAATGACAATTTTATACTTGTTTTGTGACCCGCTCTTACAAACACTGACAAAAAAAGCCGTCCTCTCATGCCGGCACGATACACGGCCAGTCACCGTTATTGTTCAACAGCACCCGGTGGTGTCGGGGAAACACGACCAGACAACAACATGAGTTAAGGGGATGGACCTCCAAGTGGGGCGGGTGGGAGGGGTGGTGTTTGGGTCCATCAACCACCAACTTTCACCCAGGAGGCTGGTGTTGACTTCCTGTAAGATTGTAAAGCCAAACCCTGTTCTTTTTTCCTAAACCCAACCACGTGTGTGTGTTGTTGAAGTGAAAAACGTCAATTCAGTGTTGTACTGACATAGTGCTTTTATTTTGAAAGAGACTGTATGCAAACTGTACATTTCCTGTGAAAACAGAAGTGTGTTTTGAAAACAGACAATGCATGTAACAGGCTGAAGTTGACACGGCGTCCCAGAACGTCGACAACCAACACACCCAGGGTACCTTGGACGTCATATGTGGACGTGGAAAGTCCATGACCAAACGTGGACATGTGACGAGGTCACAGTGAGGATGTTTTGCTTATTAAGACATTTCTTATGACTTAGTAACACTTTACAAAAACTATAACAGTCCGCAGTAATATAGCCTTCATAAGACTCATATTACATTTTAGTTTTACAGAATACATTTGAAAGTAATAAAATAGAGAAGCAATGTGGTATTTGACGTTGATGAGATCCACAGCAGCCAAGCGGTGGCTTCTTGTACGAGTATGGCAACACCACATGGACAAACTACACACAGAGCTGCAGTACAGTGTAATATTAGAACCAGTAGTTATGATTACAATGATTATTATTACATTTCCTCATGTTTAGTTCGGACGGTGGTGCATAGTTGCCTTTTATGGGATAGCAAATTGGTTTTTTTTATTGGTGCGTGTGCGTGTGTGTGTGTGTGTGTGTGTGTGTGTGTGTGTGTGTGTGCTCCCACCCAGTTTACATATTATAATTACTGCCTAGGTCTGTACACACACAGATAATTTTGAAAACAGATATTTTTCCCCTCCATTTTAACAAATTAATTTTACCCGCAAGACACGACCAGAACACAAAAACTGCTCCAAACACTCGCCTGCATTAGCTGTTTTCTGCGGGACCTTTTTCAAAACACCCACTGGAGATCTGACCCCCACTGATTATTGTTTAATATGAGGCTGAAGGAGCTCTGGTGCTCTGGCTGCGGCTGCAGACACACGATGGTCAGGGTTAGGAAAAGATGTCCGAGGGGCGTGTCTTGTGGTGAAGTGAGTCGTCTTGTCTCTCAACCTTTCTTGAGGCTCATCAGAACCAATAATGGGCATTTGCAAATTGAGACGATGATGTCATCTTTTTCCAAACGCTCTGTTTAACACGTCCACACACATTATCGGTCTTAAACAGATTTAACAGATTAAAATCTCTGTTTTAGTGACCTTAAACTTTTACTGCAGAGAAGAGGCCAAAACACAGAGGCAAATCTCAAAATCAGTCTAAGTGTAGACAGGGCCTCAGCTGCATCTTATTAAATCTGAACTTTCAGTTCTTAAATGCTTTATTGACCAAACACTGTAGGTCTGACCTTTGACCTCTTAAAGACCATTTTGAAGGTCAACACCGGCCAGTGTTTTTACCGTTTAATGCCCAAAAACATGGCAGATATTCAGTGTTTTCTTCTTGTCAGCCTCTAAACATTTGAATTATTCACTAGTCATACATTAGACAAATACAATCTTGCATTAGAGGAATTAATTCACAAAAGAACCCACGCCCAACTGGAAGATATAATTAATAACTAAAAGTTGTAGAGAAAATCAAATGTCCTGACACTTTGCCTCTCTGTATGCAGGGAGGAAACTGTCGTGTCAGAGGACGATGCTGCAGCTGACATGTGATGGACATCATTAGTTCATTATATTAATATCACTCTCACCTTATTTACATCTTTCTATCAGCTGGTGTGAATTTGTGATGATGTTAATGAACATGAAACGCCATGGTGAGACTCAGGCTGATGTGTGGGGGTGTTTGAGGCTGAGCAGGCTGCAGGTGTCTTACCAGAGGCAGCATGGCTGAGGCGCTCGGTGAGACCTGTCCTCTGTAGTGGTTATGAAGCTCCACCAGCAGCTCCTCCTGCTCCTCGCTCAGAAAGCTCCAGGCTCCAGGAACCACCAGGGCCCCCAGCAGGAGCCATGCCCAGAGAGGGGCTCCCCTCGGCGGGCAAAGGCACCGGCGACCGGCCCCCTTCCTCAGCCTGGAGCTCCACAAGGCTCGATCCTGGGTAGTCCTTCGGGTGGAGACCCCCTGGAGCTCTGAGAGGCTCCACTGGTGCATGATGGGAAACAGAGTCCTGAGGGATGTATCCTCCAGAGGTCAGTCCAGAGTCCAGCTAAGTGTGAGTGTAATTGTGTTTGTGTGTACAATAGGCCACTTGTCTTTGTATGAGTGTGTGTGTGTGCCTGTGTGTGTGTGTTTTAGAGTCAGTAAAAGTGTGTGTGTTCCCTCCTCAGTGCCTCTCACTCTCAGCTCTGCTGATCTCTCTGTTTCTGACCCGGCTTTAAGAGAGGGAGGATCCTCCCCTACACACACACACACCCACACACACACACACACACTCCACAGTTCACATTTCACACACTGCACTGACTGGTACGCAAAACAAACACACCCCCCTCAGTCCTTTTACTCTCCATATTCTCCATGTCGATCTCTCTCCTCCTCCTCCTCCTCCTCCTCCTCCTCTCCTCGAGCCTTTTCTCATTCTCTCATTTCCCCTTCTTCATCTTCAATTTGTTTCGTTGGCACGACATTCAGAGGATCCTGTGGGCTCAGGTTTTATCTAGAACAATCTGCACATGTTCATATGTACACTGAAACTGTCAGCGAACATGAAAATAAAGTGGCTACAACATTTCAATGTTTCTGCTACAAGTAAGAGTCTGCTCAGAGGTGGAGGAAGTATTCACATCCTTTACTGATGTAAAAGTACTCTGTTACTCTGTTACTCTGTTACCAGTACATGTCCTGCTCTGAAAATGTTCCTTCAGTTAAAAGTATAATCAGTAAAATGGAGTTAAATACACCTGTGTGGCCAAAGCATGTCAATAAAACCAACTCATCCTCACTGTGACCTCGTCACATGTCCACGTTTGGTCATGGACTTTCCACGTCCACATATGACGTCCAAGGTACCCTGGGTGTGTTGGTTGTTGACGTTCTGGAATGCCGTGTCAACTTCAGCCTGTTACATGCATTGACTGTTTTCAAAACACACTTCTGTTTTCACAGGAAATGCACAGTTTGCATACAGTCTCTTTCAAAATAAAAGCACTACGTTGGTACAACACTGTGAATTAATGTTTTTTTCCTCCAAAAAGAAACACATGGTTGGGTTTACGTAGGAATAAATACCAGGGTTTGGCTTTACAGTCTTACGGGACACTAACACTGCTCTCCTGAGTGAAAGTCGGTGTTTGTTGGATCCATCCACCACCCCTCCCTCCCGTCTGCCCCACTGGGACTTTTGGTGCCTTAACTTTCGTCCTTGCCCCACCATGTTTCCCCCTGACGCAGCCGATCGCTGTCAAACTATAATGGCGATCAGCCGGGTGTCATGCCAGCGTTAAAGGATGGCTTTTCAGTCACTGCCCAAGTGCCAGATTTTGACGACATCAGAGTGAGACCGTGCTCATGAAAACAGTGCAGAAAGTTGAAAGACTGGTGCCATGCAACTATGGATTCAAACCACCAGAAAGCATGATGTGACACACAGAGGGTCTAACCACAGGGCTGCTGACAAATCATCTGTTTTATGATGAGATAACACTTTGGTGAAGGTTTGCTTTAAGAAAATATGATGATCTGGGTTGAAGATATACTCAGTTAAGGTTGGGGGACCTTTGTTGCCATGGTTACAATAATAGACGCAGTGTAGGATTCAGGGGGATATATTTGCAGAAATGGAATATAATATAATCAGTGTGTTTACTTTAGTGTGTAATCACCTGAAAATAAAAATTATTGTGTTCTGGTTCCCTCAGAATGAGCTGTTCATATCGACACAGGGAGCAGGTCCTCGTCTACAGAAGTCGCCAGGTTGCACCGCCATGTTTCTACAGTAGCCCAGGACAGACAAATCAAACACTGACTCTAGATAGAGACATTTGCGTGTCATTAGCAGCCACTACATGACGGACACTATCAGAAAAACACTGAGTCTGTGTCTCCAATCACAAACTTCCATTAGTACACTTCAGTATGGGACACTATGGACTTTGTGTGCGGTGCACTAATTTCAACAGAGTGGTTTTGTCTCAAATTGTGCACTGGCATTTGCGCTTAGTGGCTTTTCTTTTGGTAACCGCCTCTTTTTCTTCTTCTTTTTAAATGGCGAACTGCAAACAGACGGTGGAGCATTATCACCAACATTTGACCGCTATCTCCGCCCACGCATAAACCAAACTTACATCACAACATCAATCCTGACTGATGAAAGAATTTACTGTTTTTTTTTATCCTACTCAACGTAAAGCGTCTTAAATGACTCCAAAAAGCACTGTATATGTATTATTATTATTATTATCATTACTCTGCTGTGAAAGGTGCCTCTCTGCGTCAGTGTCTCACGCCGAGATCACTGACAAAATGGTGGTGTGACGTATTGTTTTGCTGAAACAACAGTAATATAATGAAAAGAAAATATTGCAAATTATTTAAAGAAGGAAATGTGTGAAAATATAAGACAGAGTTTAACATGTTTCTCTCTCTGTCTGTTTAAACAAGAAGTCTGTTGAAATGTGGGGAGGTTTGGACACACACACACACACACACACACACACACACACACTGACTCACTGACTCACTGACCAGCTGATTCTGATACAGTTTGTGACTCACAAGCATTTGTGGTATGAAGAGCTCTTAAATCTCTGCAGTGTTTTTTATGTTTTTTATGTTGTTATGTTTATGTACTAAAACCTATTCCTTCATACCACAGCACAAACTCACACTGGTCACAAAAAACCAATAGGAACGTTGGATTTCACCCAGGTGTTCATCCAATCAGAGCCTGATAAACACCTGGAGCCGTCAGTTCATGAAGCTGAATACAAAACTGTTGCTTCCATCTGCTTCTGCAGGTCTCTGTCCGAGCCGTGTGTCATGTCACTGTGCTCGATTCATTCTTCTGTTAATGTGGTTCTGCAGTCAACACACAGGTGTGTGTTTACATGATGTTTGGTACCTGGTGCATGAGAGGGAGCGACGTCACTGCTGGAGGATGCAGGTGAGTTTAAAAATGATTCTGTCAATAAAGAAGAGTGTTTTCTCTTTTCACTGAATAAACGACAGCTGTGTTTTACTCCATCAGTGCACGGAGGCTTCTCAGCTGTCATAAAGAACTAGTTGTGGGTAGAGACTGTATGAAATGATGAATGTAGCTACTGTGACGTCACCTGTTGGTTTGTGGACTCCTGATTTAAAGCCTTGAGTTCAGCATTTCAGCCTGTTCTCATTCTGAAGTCGTCAAAATCCGATTTCAGTGTCAGACACCTGACGCCTTAAGCCACCCTTTGCAGTGTTTTGATACGCCCCTGGCCGGCATCAGGTTCCAACACTGCCGTAATATCAAGAGCACGAAAGTCCCCACAGGGCGACATGGACGGATCCAGAAAACCTGACACTTTCCAACCCCGTCTCACTCCGAAGTGATTGAAATCCAGCATTTGGGCAGTGATTTGTGGTGTCAGACACTGACAAAAAAGTCATCCTTTAACGTCGGCAGGTCGCAGTTATCGTTAAATCGTGAAATGGCGCTTGGTGGCGTCACGGGGAAACACAGCGGGAGAAGGAGAAAAGAAGGAGAAAATTAAGGCAGCAAAAGTCCTAGTAGGGCAGGCGGGAGGGGTGATTGATGGGTCCAAGAAACACTGACTTTCACCTGGGAGGGCTGTGTGTGTGTCCCATAAGATTGTAAAGCCAATCCCTGTTCTGTTTTCCTAAACCCAACCACGTGTGTGTGTGTGTTGGAGGAAAAAAAAAAAAACATTAATTTGTGATGTTTACTGATGAAGTGCTTTTATTTTGAAAGAGACTGTATGCAAACTGTACATTTCCTGTGAAAAGAAGTGTATTTTGAAAACAGAAAATGCATGTAACAGGCTGAACTTGACAGAATGGTCCCAGAATGGTGACGGCCAGCACACTCAGGGTACGCTTCACATCGTACAGTACAGGCCAAAAGTTTGGACACACCTTCTCATTCAATGCGTTTTCTTTATTTTCATGACTATTTACATTGTAGATTCTCACTGAAGGCATCAAAACTATGAATGAACACATGTGGAGTTATGTACTTAACAAAAAAAGGTGAAATAACTGAAAACATGTTTTATATTCTAGTTTCTTCAAAATAGCCACCCTTTGCTCTGATTACTGCTTTGCACACTCTTGGCATTCTCTCCATGAGCTTCAAGAGGTAGTCACTTGAAATGGTTTCCACTTCACAGGTGTGCCTTATCAGGGTTAATTAGTGGAATTTCTTGCTTTATCAATGGGGTTGGGACCATCAGTTGTGTTGTGCAGAAGTCAGGTTAATACACAGCCGACAGCCCTATTGGACAACTGTTAAAATTCATATTATGGCAAGAACCAATCAGCTAACTAAAGAAAAACGAGTGGCCATGATTACTTTAAGAAATGAAGGTCAGTCAGTCTGGAAAATTGCAAAAACTTTAAATGTGTCCCCAAGTGGAGTCGCAAAAATCATCAAGCGCTACAACGAAACTGGCACACATGAGGACCGACCCAGGAAAGGAAGACCAAGAGTCACCTCTGCTTCTGAGGATAAGTTCATCCGAGTCACCAGCCTCAGAAATCGCAAGTTAACAGCAGCTCAGATCAGAGACCAGATGAATGCCACACAGAGTTCTAGCAGCAGACCCATCTCTAGAACAACTGTTAAGAGGAGACTGCGCCAATCAGGCCTTCATGGTCAAATAGCTGCTAGGAAACCACTGCTAAGGAGAGGCAACAAGCAGAAGAGATTTGTTTGGGCCAAGAAACACAAGGAATGGACATTAGACCAGTGGAAATCTGTGCTTTGGTCTGATGAGTTCAAATTTGAGATCTTTGGTTCCAACCGCCGTGTCTTTGTGAGACGCAGAAAAGGTGAACGGATGGATTCCACATGCCTGGTTCCCACTGTGAAGCATGGAGGAGGAGGTGTGATGGTGTGGGGGTGTTTTGCTGGTGACACTGTTGGGGATTTATTCAAAATTGAAGGCACACTGAACCAGCATGGCTACCACAGCATCCTGCAGCAACATGCCATCCCATCCGGTTTGCGTTTAGTTGGATGATCATTTATTTTTCAACAGGACAATGACCCCAAACACACCTCCAGGCTGTGTAAGGGCTATTTGACCAAGAAGGAGAGTGATGGAGTGCTGCGGCAGATGACCTGGCCTCCACAGTCACCGGACCTGAACCCAATCCAGATGGTTTGGGGTGAGCTGGACC